TGCTGGCAGCTCCTTTAACTGCTCATCGGCTGGCAGCTCCTCCGACTGCTCCTCTGCTGGCAGCTCCTCCGACTGCTCATCGGCTGGCAGCTCCTCCGACTGCTCCTCTGCTGGCAGCTCCTCTGCCTCTGCTGACAGCTCATCCAACTGCTCCTCTGCTGGCAGCTCTTCCAACTGCTCTTCTGCTGGCAGCTCCTTCAACTGCTACTCTGCTGGCAGCTCCTTTAACTGCTCATCGGCTGGCAGCTCCTCGACTCTCCTCTGCTGGCAGCTCCTCCGACTGCTCATCGGCTGGCAGCTCCTCCGACTGCTCCTCTGCTGGCAGCTCCTCCGACTGCTCCTCTGCTGACAGCTCATCCAACTGCTCCTCTGCTGGCAACTCTTCCAACTGCTCCTCTGCTGCTCCTTCTACTCTGCTGGCAGCTCCTTTTGACTGCTCATCGCTGGCAGCTCCTCCGACTGCTCATCGGCTGGCAGCTCCTCCGACTGCTCCTCTGCTGGCAGCTCCTCTGCTTGCAGCTCCTCCAACTACTCCTCGGCTGGCAGCTCCTCCAACTACTCCTCGGCTGGCAGCTCATCCAACTGCTCCTCTGCTGGCAGCTCCTTTGACTGCTCATCGGCTGGCAGCTCCTTCAACTGCTACTCTGCTGGCAGCTCCTTTGACTGCTCATCGGCTGGCAGCTCCTCCGACTGCTCCTCTGCTGGCAGCTCCTCTGCTTGCAGCTCCTCCAAAACTCCTCGGCTGGCAGCTCCTCCAACTACTCCTCGGCTGGCAGCTCATCCAACTGCTCCTCTGCTGGCAGCTCCTCCGACTGCTCCTCTGCTGGCAGCTCATCTGACTGCTCCTCTGCTGGTAGCTCCTCCAACTGCTCCTCTGCTGGCAGCTCCTCCAATTGCTCCTCTGCTGGCAGCTCCTCCAAATGCTCCTTGGCTGGCAGCTTATCCAATTACTCCTCTGCTGGCAGCTCCTTCACAACTGCTACTCTGCTGGCAACTCCTCCAACTGCTCCTCTGCTGGCAGCTCCTCCAAATGCTCCTTGGCTGGCAGCTTATCCAATTACTCCTCTGCTGGCAGCTCCTTCACAACTGCTACTCTGCTGGCAGCTCCTCCGACTGCTCCTCTGCTGGCAGCTCCTCGGCTGGCAACTCATCCAACTGCTACTCGGCTGGCAGCTCCTCCGACTGCTCCTCTGCTGGCAGCTCCTCCAATTGCTCCTTGGCTGGCAGCTTATCCAATTACTCCTCTGCTGGCAGCTCCTTCATAACTGCTACTCTGCTGGCAGCTCCTCCGACTGCTCCTCTGCTGGCAGCTCCTTGGTTGGCAACTCATCCAACTGCTACTCGGAAGGCAGCTCCTCCGACTGCTCCTCTGCTGGCAGCTCCTCCAAATGCTCCTTGGCTGGCAGTTTATCCAATTACTCCTGTGCTGGCAGCTCCTTCACAACTGCTACACTGCTGGCAACTCCTCCAACTGCTCCTCTGCTGGCAGCTCCTCCAAATGCTCCTTGGCTGGCAACTTATCCAATTACTCCTATGCTGGTAGCTCCTTCACAACTGCTACTCTGCTGGCAGCTCCTCCAACTGCTCCTCGGCTGGAAGCTCCTCCAACTGCTCCTCTGCTGGCAGATCCTCTGACTGCTACTCTGCTGGCAGCTCCTCTGCTCTCTGCTGGCAGCTCCTCCAACTGCTCCTCTGCTGGCAGCTCCTCCAACTGCTCCTCTGCTGGCAGATTCTCTGACTGTTCATCGGCTGGAAGCTCCTCCAACTTCTCTGCTGGCAGCTCCTCCAACTGCTCCTCTGCTGGCAGCTCCCCCAACTGCTCCTCTGCTGGCAGCTCCTCCAACTGCTCCTTTGCTGGCCGCTCCTCCGACTGCTCCTCTACTGGCAGCTCCTCCAACTGCTCCTCTGCTGGCAGCTCCACCAACTGCTCCTCGGCTGGCAGCAGAGGAGCAGTCGGAGGAGTTACCAGTAGAGAAGGAGCTGCTCCTCTGCTGAATTCTCCTTCAACTAATCTGTTAGCAGCTCTTCCAACTACACCTGTGCTGGCAGCTCTTCCGACTGCTCCTCTGTTGGCAACTCCCCGACTGCTCCTCGGCTGCAGCTCTCCAACTGCTTGGCAGCTCCTCCAACTGCTCCTCGGCTGGCAGCTCCTCCGACTGCTCCTCGGATGGCAGCTCCTCCGACTTCTCCTCTGCTGGCAGCTCCTCCAACTACTCTGCTAGCAGCTCCTCCAACTACTCCTCTGCTGGCAGCTCCTCTGACTGCTCCTCTGCTGGCAGCTCCTCCGACTACTCCTCGGCTGCCAGCTCCTCTCTTCGGCTGGCAGCTCATCCAACTGCTACTCTGCTGGCAGCTCCTCCGACTGTTACTCTGCTGGCAGCTCTTCTGCTAGCAGTTCCTCCAACTGTTCCTCTGCTGGCAACTCCTCCGACTGCTCCTCTGCTGGCAGCTCCTCCGACTTCTCCTCTGCTGGCAGCTCCTCCAACTACTCCTCGGCTGGCAGCTCCTCCAATTGCTCCTCTGCTGGCACCTCCTCCAACTGCTCCTCGGCTGGCAGCTCCTCCAACTGCTCCTCGGCTGGCAGCTCCTCCAACTACTCTACTAGCAGCTCCTCCAACTACTCCTCTGCTGGCAGCTCCTCCGACTGCTCCTCTGCTGGCAGCTCCTCCGATTACTCCTCTGCTGGCAGCTCCTCCGACTGTTACTCTGCTGGCAGCTCCTCTGCTAGCAGTTCCTCCAACTGTTCCTCTGCTGGCAGCTCCTCCAACTGCTCCTTTGCTGGCAGCTCCTCCGACTGCTCCTCTGCTGGCAGCTCCTCCGACTGCTCCTCTGCTGGCAGCTCCTCTGCTGGCAGCTCTCTCCTGACAGCTCCTCCAACTACTCTGCTGGCAGCTCCTCCGACTCCTCTGCTGCTCTGACTGCTACTCTGCTGGCAGCTCCTCCGACTGTTTCTCTGCTGGCAGCTCCTCTGCTAGCAGTTCCTCCAACTATTCCTCTGCTGGCAGGTCCTCCGACTGCTCCTCTGCTGGCAGCTCCTCCGACTGCTCCTCTGCTGGCAGCTTCTCTGCTGGCAGATCCTCCGACTGCTCCTCTGCTGGCAGCTCTTCCAACTGCTCCTATGCTGGCAGATCCTCTGACTGCTCCTCTGCTGTCATCTCCTCCGACTGCTCCTCGGCTGGCAGCTCCTCCGAATGCTCCTCGGATGGCCGCTCCTCCGACTGCTCCTCTGCTGGCAGCTCCTCCTCTGCTGACAGCTCCTCCGACTGCTTCTCTGCTGACAGCTCCTCCAACTGCTCCTCTGCTGGCAGCTCCTCCGACTGCTCCTCTGCTGGCAGCTCCTCCAAATGCTCCTCCTCTGCTGACAGCTCCTCCAACTACTCTGCTGGCAGCTCCTCAGACTGTTCCTCTGCTGGCAGCTCCTCTGCTAGCAGTTCCTCCAACTATTCCTCTGCTGATAGCTCCTCCAACTACTCTGCTGGCAGCTCCTCCGACTGCTTCTCTGCTGGCAGCTCCTCCGACTGCTCCTCTGCTGGCAGCTCTTCCAACTGCTCCTATACTGGCAGATCCTCTGACTGCTCCTCTGCTGGCAGCTCCTCCAACTGCTCCTCTGCTGGCAGCTCCTCCGACTGCTCTTCTGCTGGCAGCTCCTCCGACTGCTCCTCTGTTGGCAGCTTCTCCGACTGCTCCTCTGCTGGCAGCTCCTCCGACTGCTCCTCTGCAGGCAGCTCCTCCGACTGCTCCTCTGCTGGCAGCTCCTCCAACTGCTCTTCCAACTGCTCCTCTGCTGGCAGCTCATCGAACTGCTCCTCTGTTGGCAGCTTCTCCGGCTGCTCCACGGATGACAGCTCATCCAACTGCTCCTCTGCTGGCACCTCCGGCAGCTCGTCGGCTGGCAGCTCCTCCGACTGTTCCTCTGCTGGCAGCTCCTCCGATTGCTCTTTGGCTGGCAGCTTATCCAATTACTCCTCTGCTGGCAGCTCTTCCAACTGTTCCTTGGCTGGCAGCTTCTCCGACTGCTCCTCGGATGGCAGCTCCTCCAACTGCTCCTCTGCTGGCAGCTCCTCCAACTGAACTCTGCTGGCAGCTCCTCCGACTGCTCTTTGGCTGGCAGCTTATCCAATTACTCCTCTGCTGGCAGCTCATCCAACTGCTCCTTGGCTGGCAGCATCTCCGACTGCTCCTCTGCTGGCAGCTCATCCAACTGCTCCTTGGCTGGCAGCTTCTCCGACTGCTCCTCTGCTGGCAGCTCCTCTGACTGTTCCTCTGCTGGCAGCTCCTCGGCTGGCAACTCATCCAACTGCTACTTGGCTGGCAGCTCCTCCGACTGCTCCTCTGCTGGCAGCTCCTCTGCTGGCAGCTCTTCCAACTGCTCCTCTGCTGGCAGCTCCTCCAAATGCTCCTTGGCTGGCAACTTATCCAATTACTCCTCTGCTGGTAGCTCCTTCACAACTGCTACTCTGCTGGCAGCTCCTCCAACTGCTCCTCGGCTGGAAGCTCCTCCAACTGCTCCTCTACTGGCAGCTCCTCCGACTGCTCTTTGGCTGGCAGCTTATCCAATTACTTCTCTGCTGGCAGCTCATCCAACTGCTCCTTGGCTGGCAGCTTCTCCAACTGCTCCTCTGCTGGCAGCTCCTCCGCCTGTTCCTCCTCTGCTGGCAGCTCATCCAACTGCTACTCGGCTGGCAGCTCCTCCGACTGCTCTTCTGCTGGCAGCTCCTCCGATTGCTCCTCTGCTGGCAGCTCCTCCGACTGCTCCTCTGGTGGCAGCTCCGACTGCTCGTCGGCTGGCAGCTCCTCCGACTGCTCCTCTGCTGGCAGCTCATCGAACTGCTCCTCTGCTGGCAGCTCATCGAACTGCTCCTCTGCTGGCAGCTCATCGAACTGCTCCTCTGCTGGCAGCTCATCGAACTGCTCCTCTGCTGGCAGCTCATCGAACTGCTCCTCTGCTGGCAGCTCATCGAACTGCTCCTCTGCTGGCTGCTTCTCTGACTGTTCCTCGAATGGCTCATCTGACTACTCTGCTAGCAGCTCCTACAACTGCTCCTACGATGACAGCTCATCCAATTGCTCCTCTATTGGCAGCTCTTCTGACTGCTCCTCCTCTGCTGACAGCTCCTCTGACTGCTCCTCTGCTGGCACGACTGCTCTCCTCCGACTGCTCCTCTGCTCTCCTCTGCTCTCTGCTGGCAGCTCTCCGACTGCTCCTCTGGCAGCTCCTCCAACTGTCCTCTGCTGGCAGCTCCTCCCTCTCCTGGCAGCTCCTCCAACTGCTCCTCTTGGCAGCTCCTCCAACTGCTCCTCTGCTGGCCCTCCAACTGCTCCTCTGCTGCAGCTCCTCCAACTGCTCCTCTGCTGGCAGCTCCTCCAACTGCTCCTCTCTGCTGGCAGCTCCTCCAACTGCTCCTCTGCTGGCAGCTCCTCCAACTGCTCCTCTGCTGGCAGCTCCTCCAACTGCTCCTCTGCTGGCAGCTCCTCCAACTGCTCCTCTGCTGGCAGCTCTCCAACTGCTCCTCTGCTGCAGTCCTCCAACTGCTCCTCTGCTGGCAGCTCCTCCAACTGCCTCTGCTGGCAGCTCCTCCAACTGCTCCTCGCAGCTCCTCTGCTCCTCGGAAGGCAGCTCATCCAACTGCTCCTCTGCTGGCAGCTCTTCCTCTGCTGGCAGCTCATCCAACTGCTCTGCTGGCAGCTCATCCAACTGCTCCTCTGCTGGCAGCTCATCCAACTGCTCCTTTGCTGGCAGATCATCCAACTGCTCCTCGGCTGGCAGCTCCTCTGCTGGCAGCTCCTCTGACTGCTCCTTGGCTGGCAGCTCATCCGACTACTCTGCTGGCAGCTCCTACAACTGCGCCTACAATGACAGCTCATAA